AAGTCTGAAATAAGTTGCGTTATTAATATAATGTAAATTTTTGACTCAGATGCTTTGACTTGTTGTGGAGAAATTAAACGAATTGAATATTTAACTGCATCAAAATGAGTGATTCGAAGAATGAGATGGATTAATTAAATCGGCTATAAATCTCACAGCTCTGAAATCGCTGCAAGAGAAAATTTTGTATAAAATGTGTTCCAGAAAGCACAAGCAAACAATTCAAAATCAATTTAAATTCTGGAATGTATTGCCGGTTGATAAAATTTTTGAAATAAACTTGTTATGTGTAAAATATTTTGATTCGGACCATGGTGTACCGTATACCCATTCGCATAACACAAGAATGTTACGACAAAATCCTGTAATAGAACCGATGAGTGAGAACAAATATTTTGATCGAACTTCTCAGTTCATTTTGCCACGGTTGTGGAATTTATTGCCACTCGAATTAAAAAATTTACAAACCAAGACGGAAGTGAAATTGAAAATAAAAAAATTGTACTTGTCCATGAATTAGCTTGTGACACACTTGTTTGTAATAATTCTGTGCATATTTTGTTAGTTGTATAGCTGGCGAGCAAATTGCTCGTCAGTTAGCGTGAGCACCAGCCGATAAGCTTTCGAGCTTGGCTGGACTTGTATCATAAAATAAATAAATATCTTTAATAAAAAAAAAAAAAGGAACTGCATTCAATAGTGTTTATACACATATGAAAGACGTTTTTTTTAGCGCAGAAGCGAGTAATCAGAGCAATGGCTGGTGTCCAATATTGGCGAAGTAATTCGGCACTAGACTCGTGTAGACCACTTTTCGTGAAATTTGGAGTTCTTACAGTTAATTCATTGTATATTTTGGAGTGCGTTAAGTTTGTGCGTAAATTTCCTGAAACGTTTGAACTGAATCTTGATGTTCCAGGTGTTGTAGTGCGAACTACGCGTGCTACCAGCTACGTCGACACTGATTTGTTTGTAAGGCCAAGCTCACTAAATTGCGTAAATGAGAGTCCGGAGATAATGATTGCCAGAGTATATAACAAATTACCTTTTTTTTTTTTTTTTTATTAAAGATATTTATTTATTTTATGATACAAGTCCAGCCAAGCTCGAAAGCTTATCGGCTGGTGCTCACGCTAACTGACGAGCAATTTGCTCGCCAGCTATACAACTAGCAAAATATGCACAGAATTATTACAAACAAGTGTGTCACAAGCTAATTCATGGACAAGTACAATTTTTTTATTTTCAATTTCACTTCCGTCTTGGTTTGTAAATTTTTTAATTCGAGTGGCAATAAATTCCACAACCGTGGCAAAATGAACTGAGAAGTTCGATCAAAATATTTGTTCTCACTCATCGGTTCTATTACAGGATTTTGTCGTAACATTCTTGTGTTATGCGAATGGGTATACGGTACACCATGGTCCGAATCAAAATATTTTCCACATAACAAGTTTATTTCAAAAATTTTATCAACCGGCAATACATTCCAGAATTTAAATTGATTTTGAATTGTTTGCTTGTGCTTTCTGGAACACATTTTATACAAAATTTTCTCTTGCAGCGATTTCAGAGCTGTGAGATTTACAGCACCCCAAGCTGTAATTCCGTAATTTAAATAAGAATGAGCTAATGAGAAATACATTATTCTTCTCACATTGTACGGCATATTAGCTTTCAGGTAACTGAACTCACATATAATTTTTCTCAGTTTTTTCGATATATAATGTAAATGAGGTTTCCAAGATAAATCCTGATCTACAATTACTCCGAGATATTTTGTATCCGTGACTTGCTTTAAAATGTTGCATTTGCAATTAATACAAAAGGAATGCAGACAGTCGTAATCATGACAAATTATGTTGAGCATACGTTCTTCACGAGCACTGGGATGACAAAAATGCATACAAATTGTTTTTTTTGTGTTTACATAAAAACCGTTATCATGACACCATTCAACAGTTTTATCAAATTCGGATTGAATTGTTAATTTACAAATTTCAAAACTTTCATGTGCAAACAAGATTACTATATCGTCAGCAAAAATAAACACAATGCAGTTTTTAAGTAATGGAAATAAATCGTTTATAAACAAAAGGAATAAAATCGGGCCAAGTATGGAGCCTTGAGGGACTCCAGAGTTGGCGTCGAATCTGTTGCTATTTTCATCATTTATTTTGACGTGAAACTTGCGATTACTCAAATAGCTCTTAATTAAATTCAACACTGGTCCTGTTATACCCAGTTTTTCAAGTTTTGCTAATAATTTATTATAGTTTAGTACATCAAACGCTTTTTTCATATCAATGAATATTCCTGCGACATGCTTTCTTTTATTCAAATTGTAATTAATGTAGTCTGAGAAGTCAATAAAAAGTTCATTGACACTCTTTCCTTTTTGATAGGCATACTGTCGTTTATCAATGAGTTCAAATTGTTTCAAGTAACTCAGTACCTAATGTACTAAAAGAAATATCTGACTATGGCAACTTTGTTAAAAGTGTCAAATATGTAATGCTGAAGTGTCAATTCTATGATATGAATGAATATTGGAGATGTAATTTCGAGTGCTTAAACTTGGAAGAGTGAGACTCAGCTACAGGGTTTTCGGGGGTGGTTTTCCCCTGTAGGTAGTGTGGAGGGTTAGTCAAATGCTTGCCCACCCCCGCCAAATTATCAATGGCGTGCGAGCTCCCTCAATCATTCAATTAATATGAAATGAATTAATATGAAATATTGAAATATCAATATGGAATTTTAAAAAAATTTACCATAACCTAATTATTTCATTTTTATGTTATTTAAAGTTTTTTTTATCACAAAACTGTTAAAATTATTAGTTATTCGATTATTTATATTTACTACTGGAAATTAAATATATTTATTAAGTTATTGTGTTTCTAAATTTTTAAATTTGTAGGATTATTGTTCTCAAAATTACTTAAATTTATAAACATACAAGCTGTATACATCATTATATGCACAATAATTTTATATAATAATTACATGATAACCTCTTGTCAGTAATTTTCCACAAAAATTTTCAAATTTATTCTCTTGTATTCTCTATGAAAACTTTTAAAATGTTGATATATTCCTTGTGCTGGACAAAAGGGTTTTTAATGGAATACTAAATTATTTAGTGCAAAATTCAAGTGATTAATATTTGCTGTGGGCCAAAATTAAAGTCGGAAACGCGATTTGCGGAAACGTGAAAGCTGCTCGATTGGAAGTAGATCTAGGAAGGAACACGCGTTATTTGCGTTTATCACGAGCGGACGAGCCGATCTCGTATTTTCGCTTCCGCCTCGAGCCGGATGGTCGGTTGAAATTGATGGTGTGTGTGCGAGAGAGCGGGGCCGAGATGAAACCTCGGCGATGATAAGACAGCGAGCAAAATTAATGAAGGGCCGGCTGTCGTTGACGGAGACGCGTTTTGTGCGCCCACAACAAATGGCGTCACCTCTTCTTCACTCTCTCCTTCGACACCCTGCCTGAATATCAAGTGCCTTGGATCAAAGAAAACCGCAGGTCAAAGGCATCTTTTAAATGAACTCTCTCGGGAAGAAGAAAGAAAGTTTCTCCCTGATAAAACAAATGATGCCGACAGGTTAAATTCAGCGGAAAATCCAGCGCTGGCTGACAAATGTCCGCAGTGCATGCTGGATGCACTTTGCCCTGCATAGGAGCAGAGAAAAGCACGTGCAGAGCTGCAAATCCGACGACTCTTATTCTTTCATTAAGCTCTGGACGGACCCGCCGCGTCGTTTGTCTTCCTCGCAAATAAATAAAAATGTGACGACCACGCGTGGACTGCATTCCCAACACATTCAGTGCAAAGCTGCAATATGTGGCAGGATTTAAAATGGCAATCTTTCAACTCCATTGCGCAGAGTAAAAGAATTATGCACTTCAAAATAATTTACACTAGATGATGATCGAATGGAAATTTTAAAGGCGGCAAAAGACAGCAGATGATTTTTAATGAGTAAAAGAATTAAACAATAAAAAATTCTTAATTAAAAAAAAAAGAAACTGAGAAAAAAATTTTTTTACAGAATAAAATTTTGATTATTAATTGTATGCATCTCCATTTAGGCAGAGATAAATTTAGGCAAGGAAAAAAAATTAATTTTCAACTCATTCAAAAATTTTATTTCAAACAGAAAACAATATATTGAAGATTATTCTTTTTTTTTTTAAATTGTGTATAATCAGATTCAGATAATATTTATTCCGTATAGATCAACATATGTACAGAAATAATCTTTGGTATAGGTCACTGTAATACAGCTATATCTCAATATAACTATAATACAGCTTACTAAATTTAAAATACATATAGTTTCCTACGATTGTTTGTATATCAGCTAAAATGGAATAAAAATTTATTGAATTGAATATATTTACTATTATTATCATAAATTAATAATAATAAAATTATAATAAATATAACGAATTCCTTTTCTCAGAATGCGAATTTATTGATCTAGTTTATCTACACTGTGAATAAAACTTCTCAATTATTCCCATAAGATCAATGTAAATTTTTTGTGTCAAATGTCATTATAGATTTTATTTTTGTATATTAATTATGGCGATATGAAAGTGATTTGGTGAAATCTTTATGAATTTTGATTGAGCAAATTTTTTAGAAAAAAAAATTTATTTTAGAAAATCCCTACAAGAAACAAGGTTAAATTTCAAATATTCAATTCTCCTGATAAATAAAATTTTGCTTATTGTTATTATTTATTATAATTTTTTTTTGTGAGTCTTCTTAGATCTGACATCTTCAAATCAATGCTGAAATATTACCATCAAAATTAATGGGCCATATTTTTGCTAAAGCCTCTCCTTAACTAAATAAAGGAGAGGCTTTAGAGGAAAAATTAAGTTAATTATATAATTTAATAATGTTATTAAATTTTATTTCATTTCATATCTAATCGCAACATGAGCTTATAGGCTAACCCAGAACCTTTGGTTTGTTGTTCCAGGTGGTCGATGCCTTTTGGTGGCACGGCGGTGGTGCTGATGCTGCTGGCCACGCTCTTCGCCCTGGCCGGACACTTCAACGGCGACCACAAAACGCTACTCGCGTGCTGGCTCTACATTTTAGCAGGTACAAAGAAATCTGCCACTAGCTCTGTTTGACTTTGGCCCCTCCGGCGAATTCCCTTTTCCTTTTTTTCTTCTTATCAAGAGAGCGAGCTATAATTAAATTGAGTTGCTGCGCCGTCCGCCCGCCCGCACAAGTTTATTGGTCTTTTTTGTTTGCCGATCGGCAAGAAGAAGTGCTGGCGATGGCAGATGTCAACCGAGCGCCAGAGATAATCGCAGAGCAGGAATTTCATTAAAAAGTTTGTCAACCGCAGCTAACGATCGAAAGCCTGGCAAATAAATGTTTAAAATATATTCCAAGCAGCTGGACTGCAAACAGAAAAGTCGGAAAAGTAATCAAAGTTGTCAGCAGAGTTTTCTAAACAATCACAGTTTCCTTTCATTAGCTCCCAGTTAGTAAATTATTGATTGTTTATTATTATATTTTTTTAGTACAATTTCACGATCTAGGGTTTATTTGTAGCGATTTCGGCTTTTTTTCGTTTGGTTTTGTGAGTTTGTTGGTTTTGTGTCTTCAAGAAAAAAAAAACAATATCCTGCTCTACATATTTCGGCTGCAGCCATAATTATTATTATTATTTATTCTTCTCGGTCAATACAAAAATTTTAAATTGGAAAAAAGAGAAGAAAGGGTTTACAACTAGCAGATGTCTGCTAAAAGGCCCGACATCAAGAGCTGTGAAATTATGTTGCTGTGTTGGTGTTATGTTGTAGGGAAATAAATAATTGTCCCGGGTTGGTGAAAATTAGTGTAAAAATCAATCTTTTAATTCTATATTTTCTTTTTAATTAACAATTTTCCGTGAAAAATTATACAATTTCACAAAACAATTTTTACCTCAAAATTTGACAGTTGAATTCAAATTTTTATAATTTTTGTTCGAATATTCAACGTTTTTTTTTATTACTTTTTTAATTATTAAGAATTATTCATTTTGAACTGAAAACAAATAAATGTAGTTCGTTAAAAATTTAATATTAATTAAGAAAATTGATCTTATTTCTATTGATCAGCGTTAGTTTTTACTTTGTTGTGAACAAAAATTGAATATTTTTTAAAATACATCTAATTTTCTAGAATTGTAAAGAATATAAGTTTGAGAATTTTGGTTCTTTGACTGGTGATCCCATTTGCTGAATGGCTTTTCCATAAACAGCAAGGGGGAAATAAGAAATCATAAGCGGCCCTCCTTGATGCCAGGCGATCAATTTCGAGCCGAGAAATGCATTTATTCGCGCGTCCGTTCGCTTTATTGCCGAGAGTGAGGCGCCGCACACAAAAGGCGTATTGTGCTCTGGCTATAAAACCAGGCAAATCCCAGATTTTCGCCGGCTTGCCGCACAACAATGGCCAGATATACCTCTTGCGAAATCGCATTGATATTAAAAAACAGGCTCTGCCAATATCATCTCGCGCTGGACAAAGAAACGCGTCTTAAATGGACGCGTAAATTATGGCCGCTTTTCGCGCCGAATTCATTTCATCGGCCCTGTCAGACGCGAGAATTGATGGACTTTTTGCTCGTGCAGGGACAAAGCGGCCAAAGAAATTAAGCCCGGCTGCCGGCGATGGATTAAAATTGATTGCTCTTGAACCGATTGACCTTTCTTATTGCGATCGGACAAGTTAGAAACGCTTTGTTGGAGAAAAGAGAATTCCTATTCCAATTTGTAAAACGTTTTTTAGGTTGTGTATGAAAAATTGTATTATTTAAATTCAGCGAATTTCAACATTTCGAGGTAATTTCTTTCACAGACTGGTGGATTTTTTATTCAACTTTAATTAGCACCGTATTTATTTTATATGCATTCTCGTCTGTATAAATATGGGAGTTAATTACAAGCTCATTCCACGTCACAAAGCTAGAAAAAAGTGTTCATAAAAAGCGCCCGACTCTTTTCAGTCAGACGAGAATGCAGTTAATTAGCTTTAGCGCCGAGCGTGCAAGCTAAGTAGGTTGGAATAATCATCATTTCAAAAATTGAGTCTTAGTGCAGATCAAAAGTTTTGAAATTGCTTCACACTGATACGTACCGTTGTATGAAAAGCAGCGTGAATTTTGTCTCGTAACGCAAAGTGCAACAAGCTGAGAGCAGTGGCCTGCGAAAATGGTGCTTAATCAATTACACGCAGAGTAAAGATCCAGATTATTCACCTTATTTTTGTATTTTCATCTAATAACAAGTTCGTCAGTAGCTCAGGGAAATATTTAAAATTACTAATTACTCATTTTTCCAGTTACAATTATTTTTAACAAGTAATATTTTTTTTAAATATTAATATTTATGGAAATATTTTTGTAATATTATAACATATAATTTATTTACAATTTATAATATTAATTTTATTTTATTATTTATTATAGTATTAATAATATTGTGTTCTCTCTACTCCCACTGATGTGCTCAAAAACACACATTATTCGTTTTTATTTAATCTGATTAAAGACGAAATATGTTATATAACATTTAAATATAGAAAAATATATCCAAAAATAAATTATTGTCATATTTGTGAAATAATTATGTGGTGAAAAAATGGCAACTGAAAAGAATTTGTGCGAATTATTATTTCACGCAAACAATTTTATATAGTTCTTACTTATTTTTGTCAAAATAATTTCACAGTTAATTAATTATGGCTGCAGCCGAAACATGTAAAGCAGTATATTGCTTTTCTTATTAAAATTACAAAAATTACAAAATACATCGAGGTAAAGCCAACTTTAAATTCAAATCGTAAAATCGTACTACAAAAAAAATTGATTAATTAATTTTGGCATACTTTCAAGAGACCCGCTTTTTAGCCAAAATTAAAAAGCCCTCTCCTGGGAATATTTTTGGCCGCTGCGGTGGAATTCATTTCAGTCTCAACGCGAAATTTTAAGGTAAAAAGCTAATGGGTTGTTGATCCTCGTCCGAGAGAAGAGCACGAAAAAGTAATCAGATTGCAATTTCATTAAAAGCAGCTCTCCAGCCAAAGTGCGGCGTTGATTATCAAAGATAAGCTTCCAAGCTACTTTCGAGGTTTTCTCGGCCGCCGCAAAAGGGAAGTGTGGAATAAATGAAACTTGTGGCTGCCCAGGGGCTGCGAAATGTTAAAGGGTGTGTTGGTCGCGCGCGGCGAGAGGAATCGTTCCTTGGAGGAATATTTGGCGCGGCCAGTCGCGAGGCCAAATTCGCTCTGGAGCCACCCGAGGGGCGAATTACGTCTCGTGCAGAGACGGCTCGCAAACACGCCCCCTTCGCACCCCCCTGAAATGCGAATCAGAAGGAATTGCTTTTCATGACCCTGTTATAAGGCTCAAGGCTGTCGCTCGCTGCTCACAAGAGAATTCCCTCATTTTTTGTTCCAAACCCTATTGTTTTATTTTTAAGATCACGCACACACTGAAAGTCAGGGGGGACGGCAGTGGCTTATTTTAGTACGATTCGAACTTAGAAAAGTCAACAAATTGAAATTTTATTTATTTTTCTAAATTTTTCTTAGCTTTTTTCCAATAGCAATGCTAATAAAATATAGAAATTTTCCTGTTCATATACAAAAATTGAAGGGGAAAAAATTTCAATGCTAATGTGATACCCTTTCTGCTCATTTTTCCAATTTAATTTTTTTCATGTATGACTTGAGTAGAATAAACAACAATAAAAAAAATCATTTACTTTACTTATCAAACGCTGCCACTTCTTCAATTTCATCTAAAGCCTAAAAAAATGGCCAGCCATTTGATTGATTTATTAATAGAAAGCCAAAGGCATGCAACAAACTTAAATAATACAAAATATGCAAGGCAAAATTAAATTAATTTTCTCAAACTATTCAGTTTTGCAGCTTATCACGTAAACTTAACTTATTTTCAAAGCAGTCCTTGATATGTTGAAAATTACCAGCCGTTGATTGTGATTTTTGTGACGAAATAAAAAATTTATCAAAATATTTGCGTTAATAAATTTAAAATTGTACACGATCTCTAACTAATAAGAATAAAAAAAAATATGATTTTTCTCTGACAAATGGAAAACACGATTTCTGAGCAATGAATTTCGGATTTAAAAGTACTGATCAATGCCGAAGACTGTTTTCATGATAAATAAATTTTAGAAAATAACGCCGACTGATCATTTTGGCACTTTATGGCCTTTGTCTTCTTGCATCCAAAACCAAAAACTGGCCTTGCTGTAGTATCTTGTTAGTGCGCGATATTTTATGTGAAGGATGCAAAGCGAGTAATCTAATTACGCCGTTGCCGTTTAATTGGCATGCGCGAATTCAGGCAGAAGCGTATTATTAGTTGCAGCGCAATTCTTTCGCCGCGGCTTTTAAGCAAGGCCGCTACTTCATTAATTAATGTTGTGCCGCGGCCGGGAAGGTCGACGAGCGAACGTTTTATGTCTGCGCCAAGCCGCTGCTTTACAACTTGTAATTGCATGGCAGCGTTTCTGCGCGACTTGTCTCTTCACTTTTCTCTCTCATCCTCTGGCAAGCAACTTTCTGCGCAGGGCGTATTAACGGCTGGGGTAGGCAACCGCCGACGCTCATTTGCAGCCTAGCCAGAGCGTTCAAAGGGAATTGCTAGTTGCACTCGTAGGAATAGAGCGCCGGAGCGTTGTTCAAATAACAAGGCCCGACTTTGAAAATTGTTAAGTTTTGTAGTTTGTATTCATAAAAAAATATAACGCCTAATTAAATAATTATGAAAGAAGGAAATGTTTACAGTGAATCTGATCAATGTTGAGGAACAATTAATTATTTGCTTGAAATTAATATTTTTTAATTTTCTTCTGGTGATTTGAATATATTTTGGCTTGTTCTCAGTGCATTTTGCGATTTTTTATTTTATTTTTTTAAGCTAAAACGATATCTTGCTCTACATGTTTCGGCTGCGGGCTGCAGCCATAATTTGTGAGCCGTAAAATCATTTTGACTATAGAATTAGTCCAAAAATCTATCTTTTAAAATATTCGTCTTTCAAATTAACAATTTTTGTTAAAAATAAAAAAGAAACAATTTTGAACATAAAATTTGACATTTGAATTCAAATTTATGTTTTAACAAATGTTTTATGTAAAAATGTAGCTTAAATGATGCAAAAATAAAAATATTAATTTGAAAGACAAATATTTTTTTCATGCCAAAAAGCATTTCACTTATGACTGCAGCCGAAACATGTAGAGCAGGATGTTGTTTTTTCTTAGATGATAAAAAAGTCACACAATCCATCGAGGAAAAGTCGATTTTAAATTCGAATCAGCATAAAATCTTATTTATTAAAAACAAGAACAAATTTCAATTTGATCGTAAAATTTATTAGGATTTCATGAGCTTTATTTTTAACAATACGTTCTATGCGTGTTTCAGGGCTTAGCATGGGCGGCGGCCTGGTGATCTTCGGGGTGGTGCTGAACGACGCCTTCTGGGACCGTCCTCGACGCGATACGTACACGTCCATGGGCCGGGTGTTGCTGAGCGCCGGCGAGTACTCGTACCGCTACGGCTGGTCGTACATGGCGGCCGGCGCGGCCATGGTGGGCGCCGAGGTGGCTGCCGTGCTGGGCGTGGCCGCCTACCTGCGCCGCTACCCCAGCGTCGAGGACATGGTGCGGCTGGTGGTGCCCGGGCTCGATCGCAAGCTCAACGAGTCCTTCTCGAGCGGCGACTACGTCGTCCGGCGGACGCTGAGCGAGGAGCGCGCCACCACCAGCAGCTCGGGCGACCCCGCGGCCTCCAGGTCGGCCGAGGCCCTGGTCGCGTGCGACGCCGACGGCGCCGAAAACCCACTGCTCATGCGCAAGAAGCGGCAACCGGGCGACGGCGACTTCGTGGTGATGGCGCCGGACATCTGCAGCCAGCAGTGCTGCGACGAGGGCCAGCTCGTGGTGGTCGTCACCGGCGGCGGCCCGGGGGCCGCCCTCATGGGCGGCCAGCCCAGCGGGCACCACCACCACCAGCACTTCGCCCAGCCGGTGGCGCCGCCAGTGGCGCCACCGCAGCGAGTCTTTTCGGAACTCCGAGCGTCGCGCACGGCGCTGGTGCAGGCGCAGATGAACACGTCGTCGTTGCTGAAGAAGAAAAGCGTCACCATCGGCACGTTCACCACGATGGACGGACCCCACGGAGCGGCCACCCTTCCTCGCGCCGGCAGCGCCGCGAGCGGCGGCGTCGGGAACTACTCAAGTGCCGTCTGACGCTCGGCCGCCACCAGGCTCTAGCGCACGTCCCTCGAGGACGTGGCCGACGTGGCCCTCTGACCGACCCACCGCGCGTGCGCAAGGAAGGCTGTGTGTTTTTTCAGTTGGCCGCCTGCCCTGTCAGGGCAGGCAGAATCTAAAATTTCCGGCGCCGGTCAGGGCCGTCGAGCGAGAGCGAACGAGTCTGCGTGGCCACCCTAGGCTTCGGTCAGGACTAGTCATCCGTGGACACGAGTGTTTTTTAATTGTTACACACACACACACACACTATATCACTGTTGTTACACACGCGATTAACTGTTGTTATCCCTACGCAAAAAAAAATGAGAATTATCGACGGAATTTTCCCTGAAACGTCAAAAGAATGAATTATTTGTAAAAATATGTTCTCACCGAGGGCGGAAAAATTATATTTTGTGTTCTGGAGAGCTCTCTAATTTGACACATTTGTAAATCATATTTTAAGTAAATTTTTATTATAAACAGAGACTTTTCTGAAGCTGCTCAATTTCAGGTTAGAATGGAAATATCAGGTGTGTGTTGAGATTTGAGATACAATTTTTATTTTTGGAACAGTGAAAAGATAGATCCTCTCCGGTCATTTGTATTGCTCTTGATTCTGAAAGATTGCTAAATTTCGAGTATATCTTGTGAAAACACCATATGTGAAAATTCCACGTTGCGTTGCAATCAAAAGAAAACCTAAATACGAGTGATTCGCGCGAAAAACGTGAGAATTGAGTTGCCAATCAGATCCATCAGTTTTGTACAAAAACTGCAGGATTTGGACGAAACTGATGGATCTGATTGGCAACTCAATTCTCACATGTTTTTCGCGCGAATCACTCGTATTCTTTCTTTTGATTGTGACGCAACGCTTTGGAATTTTCACATGGTGCTTTCACAAGATATGCTCGAAATTTAGCAATCTTTCAGAATCGAGAGCAATAAAAATGACCGGAGAGGATCTTTAAGTAGGATGACCAATATGATCCGATTCAATTTTTGCTATGTTTTCTACATTTTCACACACAAAAAATAGCAAAAATTGTTTGGGGCTGTCATTTTTTTTTTAATTTTATTTAGTTAAAAAAATCATCAGGATTTTTAATTTGTTTCCTAGGAAACGAATGTGAAAATTTCAAACTTCAATTTTTTAAATTTGGAGCTCCCCAAAAGACGTCACAATTTGCTAATAATTTATGGTGTGAACTAACTGCCAATTATAATATTATTTTAACGATCATTTCTGGAGAGACGGTACGGATCTTTTTAGAAAAATAACTCCAAATTTTATTTAATTGTTGATTGCTGTTTTCAAAAATTCACTTGAAAGTGATTCTTGCAAGGAAAACTAAAAAATGTTCCATCCCCAATAAATTCATCTTCGCAGATTGCCTATTTTCATGACGCTCTATCGCTGCCAAGAAAAGGAGGAAAATTGTTAACTAAATTTATCTTTGCCGTCTTTATCTCGACAACACATTTCGCAAGATAGATCCATCAAAGGATTCTCGTTCGTTCTTTGTGATTTTCCTCCTTTTCAGCACTCGTCGTTAAGATTCTGTCGTATATATCGGGTCGTAATCCTTTGTGCTCTGCTCCAGGTAAAAAAATTTATACATGCGCAGAGTCCTTTGCTGCATCCTTCCTTGTCTCTGCTCTATACGTTGAAATGGGCCGCCCTCGGCAAGAACTTGCCATACATTCCTCTGCTCCTGATGCCACTTTCCGGGTCTGAGAATTTAATTTTCCGCAGCAGGGGCAGGTTCTGCTCTCTCTCATTTACGTTGTCTCTCATTGTGATTCAAGACTCACGTTGAATATGCATGTGTGTAAGAAAAAATATGTTAAAAAAAAAGAAAAAATCCACAAAATGTATACTGCCCCCACGATTTCTCCTTCGCTGTGCAGATCAGATGAAGCGAAAGAAATTATACAAATTGTTCAAGACAGTTTCGGCGATGTGTGTTTACATATCAAAATCAAGCGTGAAATAATGCAGAAGCGTGCCAAAAAAAAATGTGTGAATGAAATGTAAAAGATTGACTGTGGATGGGAGACGGTGTCTGGATGTTAAAAAAAAATCGACGGATAAAAACCATTACGGCTCTAACATACTTGTAAAAATACTACTCCCTTTTTGAACGATCAATAAAGGAATGTCATTTTTGTATTCAAGACTAACTGGAGTTTCATTCTTTCAAACAATAATTTATTATGCAGTAGAACTTTCCTGGTGATTTAAATTTAAAATCGAATTTTCGTCGATGGTATTTGTGAGTTGTTTATTGCTTCAGAAAAAAAACAGTATCCTGCTCTCCATGTTTCGGCTGCAGCCATAATTCATGAACTGTAAAATTTTCTTGACAGAAATTAGTATAATAATTAATTTGATGAATGTTTTTTCCATTAAATGATCAATTTTTTCAATTTTTCACAAATTAATTTTTTTCACAAATTTGACAATTATTGTTAAAAAAATTTTCAGTTACAATTTTTATAATAATTTTGGTCAGATGAAAAAACCAAAAATTTGTTTTGCACACCTTTATTGGAGGAAGTAGACAAAAGACAAATTTATTATTATAATACAATTAAAATTCAAGTAATTTTATGAAAATTGTAATTATGAGAAAATTTAATATAAAAAATATTTTTTTAATTTTTTTTATACAAAGATTAAAACTGAAATGAATTGAAAATATTTCATAAAAACTAAAAAATTTATTTAAACAATAAACCTATCTAGTACAAGCCGACTTTAAATTCAAATCACAATGAGTCAACCGTCGATCGTGAAATTGGACTATAAAATTAAAGAACTTTCCTATTTACAGACTTTTTCCTCGCTTGGGTCAAAGTAAGGACGGATACAATAAATGACACGTCTCTGGCAGGTGGGTATTGAGAGGAGCGTGTCTTTGTCGTTTCCATTCCAGCGTCCTGCTCACAATCGGCGGCGGCGACGCTATTTATGCATCTCTCGGCAGCGCAACTTAATGGTCCGGCTGTTCCTGAGCGAGCGAGAGGATGTACGTTCCGGCGCGGTGACCATAATAGAATTACCATTCACGCGCGCTTTTGATGGCACGACGGCGAGCCGACAGACAACTATCAGCGCTCTACGAGTCTCTCGAGATTTCGCCGCCGATTCCATTCCACAGCGGCAAAGTGCATTACAAACATTTCCCAACGTCATCGATTTCCTCGGCGCCCCGTTTCGCTCCTTGCAGTTCTCGCATTACATCACCATTATTTACAAAGGATGGAATCCGTAACTGTATTAAAATAAGAAAGAGTTGATCATCTCAACCAGAAAAGTGCAAAAAAATTGTTCTTTAACTATTTTTATTTCATATTTTAAGCGCATAATTTGGCACTTTTATAATAATAATCTTATCTGCCGTTTGATTCAAGTTAATGTTTGCATAATATTTTTTCAAACGAGCAGTGAATCTGCATCATTCATTCCACTTGAGATTTAATCATGAAATCTAATCAAAGTACCCAGCAATTGCAAGTTGTATTGCACAATCAAGTTGATAAGCACTTGAAAAACCGTTGCAGAAATCTTCAGCTCCGCAAATGCAGAAGATGGGACGAGGCGCTATGTCGTTGTTGTTGTTGCTGCTGGTGGCTTCGGGGGCCGCGGGGCAGCTTTGCGAGAATCACATCGACCAGTACAAAACCGGCCTGAAGAGCGGCGAGACCTGGGCGCTGCAGAGTATGATTATATGAGCAGCAGAAAATTGTTGTTTTTAATCAGAGAGCGAAACAAGCGCAGTGTACGACTCGTCGACGAAGCTACCCGACGGTGCTTTGACAGGCTTGGTGTCGCCTCCGGGCAACTTTGACGAGTGCCTCGGCGTCAGGGCGCCAGAATTCATCGGCAAGTACTGCAGGATTAAAGTCAACTTTGCGCAGGTTTGATAAATTAATGACAAAATATTGTATGAAATTTTGTATCACAAAAAGATGAATAATTTTAATTTATAAAAGAACGTTTTAATCTGAACCGATTGTGATGTTTTTTTTTTTTTTTTTTTAAAGTTAGAAAAAACTGGAAAAATAGACACCATTAAAGCCATAGTACAAGTCGGTTTGACAAGGGGCCATGGGATTTCTTTGCAAACAAAAAATCAGGTGAAAAGTACACTTTAATTTGACGGATTTTGGCGTGGAAAAAACTAGGAAAACGCTTGTAGTTTCAATTTAAAAATTGAATATCTTGGGTTCTATTTAAGGTTTAGAAATGCGGCTAGAACCATTTTTTTTTTAAATTAAAAAAAAAGATGGAAATCTTAATTTCTTTAATGTTGTACCTACATGTTAGGACTATCTTGGAATAAGTTTCAGCCCAATCTAACGTGGCATATTTCTGCTAAAAAAATTTGTGAATATGACCCCTAGAAAAGGACCTTGATCTTTGACCTCCCAATCATTTGACCTCTCAGGGTTGAAGAGGAGGTAAAAATAAACTTTTTGGTCCTAGCCGCATTTCTGTAACTCAAATAGAACCAGAGATATGCAATATTTAAGTTGACACTTCAGTAGCGTTTTTCCGGGAATGTTTTCAATGTTTTTGACTTTTCCAAGTTTTTCCACGCCAAAATCCGTCAAATCATATGTACTATTCACCTGATTTTTTTTAAAAATAAATCCATGCCTCCTCCTTGCCAACCGACCTGTACTTTGGCTTGAAATGTGTCAATATTAAAATGACAAAAATGACTCATTTACAAGGGCCCAATTCTGCCCCCTCTTCCAACCTTCGAGGTGGCCGCATGTGGGCCTTCAACATGCAGCGACGAGGAAATTGCTCAAGTGGCAGAGTTCAATTTGGGCACTGTTAATCTGTCCGTTTCCAGCGCCGCCACCTACACCCACTCATGCGAGTACGAAGGCCTCCGTTCGCTGGACACCGGTTTCTGGGTGGCCATGTAATCAAAAAGCGCAAAATATAAACAGTTCTTTGCAACGTCACAATTTACAGAGGGGTCATTTCCTGTCTGACTTTGTTGGTCGTCGTATGCGGACTGTGTGACTGGCTGTTGGAAAAGCGTGAAAAAAAGCCGCCAAAAGTGGTGGAAACTTTGGTGTCTGCCTTCTCCCTGCAGAGGAACCTGAAGCAAGTTTTCCGCATTTCGAGGAAGAAGGTGCCGGGCCAGATTTCATCCATCCACGGAATCAGAGTGCTCAGCACAGCATGGGTTGTCCTTGGTCACCGCTACGAAATTTTTGCAATGGCCATGCCATTCATGAATTCTTTCCAAATCTATACGGTTTGTTAATAATTTGACTTGATATTAAAGATTATTAAAATTGCATTTAAAAGCTTCCGCAAGAGTTCAGTTCGATGCCGATCATAAACGCGCTGTTCTCCGTAGACACATTTTTTGTTCTCAGCGGATTTCTGGTCACCTACATTTGCTGCACTGACGCCGTCAAGGGCAGAAAGTTCAATATCATCCAATACTACGTATACAGATATTTGAGGTTAATTATTATGATGAATTTCATACGAGGACGCGCTAAAACTGCCGATCGAAATACAACATGGGTCGATAATTTTTTCAATGATAACCACCTGTCCATAGGTCACCCCCATGTGGTTAAAAAAAATCCCAAAAATTTTTTCGAATTTTTAGAATTTTTTTTCAAAAAACTCAAAATTTGAGTTTTTAATTTTTCTATGAGAGATAAAAACTTCTAAACAACTTTTCTAGACTAACTTTGCAACGCCCGACAACTTTTCAATGCTGACCAAACGTGTACAAACACGTTTAAGGTCACTTTCAGACAAATTTTGAATTTGACTGAAATTTTTGAAATGAACGCCCCCTTGGATTTTTTTGCAGGTATAGGGAAAAATGTAGCCCATCTAATTTTGAATCGATATGGTGATTTCCAGAAATATATTATTTTTTATTTTTCTTTTATTAAAAGGTGAATGAATAAAAACGTTAGATTTTGGGTTTCCTAGTGAGGAGTGAAATCTCGGAATTTGCTTCAATCATCCGATTAATTCTCGCGCTAAGAATTTACTTTGAAATATAACTTTTCTAGACGTATTTTTAGTTTTCCAACAATTTTTCAATAGTAACCAAACGTGTACATACACGTTCAAGGCCATTTTTAGACAAATTTTGATTTTAACTGAAATTTTCATAATGAACGCCCCCTCCGATTTTTTTGGTGGTATAGGAAAAATTGTAGCCCATCTAATTTTAAATCGGTATGGTAATTTTCAAATGTATATTATTTCTTGTTAAAATTATTTTAAAATTAAAGTAAACCAACTCCGACCATGAGCGTATTTTCAGCGCTTGAAACGCACAAAACCTAATGTTTTTATTTGTTCACCTTTTAATTAAAGATAAACAAAAAAAAATATATTTTTGAAAATCACCATATCGATTCAAAATTAGATGGGCTACATTTTTCCCTATACCTGCAAAAAAATCCAAGGGGGCGTTCATTTCGAAAATTTCAGTCAAAGTCAAAATTTGTCTGAAAGTGAACTTAAACGTGTTTGTACACGTTTGGTCAGCATTGAAAAGTTGTCGGGCGTTGCAAAATTAGTCTAGAAAAGTTGTTTAGAAGTTTTTATCTCTCATAGAAAAATTAAAAACTCAAATTTTGAGTTTTTTGAAAAAAAATTCTAAAAATTCGAAAAATTTTTTGGGATTTTTTTTAACCACATGGGGGTGACCTATGGACAAGTGGTTATCATTGAAAAAATTATCGACCCATGTTGTATTTCGATCGGCAGTTTTAGCGCGTCCTCGTATGAAATTCATCTTATTTATCTTTATTGATCAAGATGTTCCAACTAAACTTGTGCATTTTAGCCTTTTTTTAGGTGCCAAAACGTCGTCTATTTTTTTGTCGATTTTACAGTAATTTAGTTGCATTTTTAGCAGGTTTTTTTTTCCGAAATCGTCGCTTTTAGTCGGTATTTTTCGCTATAAAATACACGAATATATGGTTTTAACCGATTTTTTCGAATTTGCATGCATAGATGTGCGCTTTTGGAAGCATAAAAATATTGTATCACCAATTTTCATAATTTTAAACTAACCAGAATGCAAACATAGTAATTTTATGATACGTTAAAGAAACGATGACTGGAACCATTGAATTTTTTTTAACATTGTAGATCGTTAAACAGGCTATTTTTTTAAATCAGTGTTTTTTTCTTTGTATTTTTTTTTTTTTACTTATAAAATATTATGATTTTTGAATAGCTAAGTACATTTATTTGATATTTCCAATAACACGAATATTATAAATGTTTTTCATTGATTGAAATCCTTTTCCTGCTTTCTATAAAAACATGTTAATAGAAATTAACATGTTAAAAAAAAGTGGGATTACTAATTTTTTTTTTTTTTTTTTTTTTTTTTGCTTGAAATAATATCTGTATGATAATATCTTTTTATAGAGGGTGACATTTTTTTTTATGGTTTTCAAAATTAGTTTAAATGAAATTTTTGTGTTTTTTATTTAAGTCGGGAAAAACGTACTAATTACATGAAATAGTTGAAAAAGTCTGTCAATTTAGTCTGTTTGAGTTGCTTTAGTCGTTACATTGAAGGAATAGTCGATTTTAAATAGGTGCCAATCGTCATAAATTCACTTGATTCATGCAGAAAATACCTTTTCGCAACGTTCAAAGCGACGTAGTAAAAGTTGATCGAATCATATGCATGAGCCTAGTTATAAAAACATTTTATTATATGTACTTTTCTGATTTACTAATAATTTTCATCTGAAGATTGACAGCACCAGTTGCGTTTATGATTCTGTTCATTGCTTTTATCATGTACCACCTCGGCAACGGTCCTCAGTGGAACGTGCTTTTCTGGAGCCAGTCTCAAACGTGCAAGGATAGATGGTGGACGACCCTGCTTTACATAAACAACGTTGTAGACTATCCGTCTATGAGCACTGTTAGTTTAATTTATTCATTAAAAAAATCATTTATTCAATTTCCTTGCATTGAAATTTACAAGTGTCTGCCTCAATCGTGGTACCTGTCGGTAGACATGCAGCTGTCTTGGGCGGCGCCAATCGTGCTGATTCCCCTCTTGCGGTGGCCGAAGTACGCCGTGCCCGCCATGGGGATGCTAATTCTGCTCAGCACCGCACTCAACTTCGGTCTGACCTACGCCTACGATTTTTTCTGGACCTACCCCATCTACAACATCCCGAAGTATAAAAGCAAAATTGAAAACAAATAAATTTATTAGAAAATGGAATCAAAGTCCTACGAGCCAGACGGACTACTGGTTCTGGTGCTACTTGATGCCGTGGATGCGAGCGCAGCCCTATCTGGTCGGCATGCTGCTGGGCTGGTACATGAGCACCCCACGCAAACCGATGGGCCGCCTGTGGGCCACGGCCGTGTGGCTCCTAAGCACGGCGGCCACCCTCGCGGTGCTTTTCACCATCTCGCTCGCCTACAGACCCGACCACCCGTACAACGAGACCGAGGCCGCTTTCTACAATTCGCTGCACAGACTCGTGTGGGGCTTGTCGGTCGCCTGGGTCATTTACGCCTGCTCCAACGGACTAGGAGGTTGAATTAATTAAATTTTACTCCACGTTTATCTTTTATGGGTTCTGAAACTATTTTCCGAATTTTGAACTATTTTTCTTTAGAAAACTTTATTATGTTAAAAGGCACTTAAGATTTTGTTATGGTGAAAGTTTCAAAGAAAATCCACCGTAAAAGGAAGCTCTCAAAGCTAATTAGATGAAAATTTTAAACGGAAATTGATCACGACAACAAGACATAATCGTCTTAACAAAATTTACGATAATGCTGATGGCGGCTGAGAGTTTATAATGGGGCCTATTGCCATTAACGGCCTTAACTCGTATGTTAATGGAGCACTGACTGCACGCAGGGCCGGTGGACGCGATCCTCTCCTGGCGCTACTGGCAGCCTCTCAGCAAGCTGTCGTACTGCGTCTTTCTCACGCACATGTTCCTCATCTTCTACGAGGTCGGTGTGCAGAGGACGCCCAGCTACTTCACGCAGCCCTTCATGGTGGGTACACATGAGCGAAAAAATTATAAATGCGAAATCGCCCTTCTTATTTGCAGGTGCACGGCCTCCTGGCCGACTTGCTGGCCGTCATTCCCCTCTCGCTCCTCCTCTACCTCTTGACGGAGGCGCCGGCCATGGCTCTCACTCGAAAACTCTTCGGCAAAGGTACCGTAATTTAATTAATTGCAATTCACGACGGAAAACGCAATAATATTTGTGCAAAATTTCAAATTTATTTTAACAATTTGGTTTTACTAGAAAGAATCAAACTTAATTATATTAAAACTTTTTGTGTGTTTTACAGACAAAAAGCAGGCGGCAGTCGGCGGCGACATGACGAAGCAGGGCGGCGCGTGAGCGCAGCTCATTAAAGTGGCACGCATCGCTTGCTGTTTGAGTTGGATATCACGCGCCGCGCTTGCGAGTTTCATCTTGATTCAAATTCCAGGTGCCTGCGAATGTGCGCCGACTTTAAATTAGCACCCTCCGAATTTTGTGTGTAAATAATTAAATCCGAGCACGGATTCCAATTAATTAACCAGCGGCAATAAATTATTTTGCTAATTAAAAAAGGCGTGTAGTCTTATTTCGATATTCTTCTCCGCGTTAAAAGGCGGCTTGTTTCTGTGCTGTTGCGAGCGTAATCACGTTAAGGTCGCACGCCCACCTTTTGCCACTTGCACGCGCCTAATTAATCTGCATGATTAACCTTTTAGTCCATATCTGACTCTAATTGTGCGCTCTCGTCGTCCACACAACTCACAATTCACGTCCGCCGACCGAATCCGGTTAGTGTGATTCAATTTTATGCGCTTTAATTCTGCAATCTGATACGCGCTCTAGTCCGGTTGATTATCAAGCATAATAATTGGCTTCCAGAGTAACGCTGCACGTAAATTCAGTTATGCAACCAGTTCAACGGATTTGCCGCGCCGGTTGCATACACTACCCCTGTGAATGGCTTTTACCGGCTTTTATTATTCGTATGGCGTTGAATAATTATATGATTAATTAATTCGAAATCGGATCAAAGGTCTTTTTGTGCGAGTATAATTCAAAACTCTTGGTACATATATTAGGTTTGCAGTAAATTTTTTCACTTTAGATTAGATTAGATCAAAATTTATTGCATTAGACATATGTAATACATCACCAATTTGTCTTTACAACAAGTCAATAAAATAGCAAAATAAAACCTCCAAAAAATTTTAACTATAACATTCAATAAGTGAGTAATTGAGGGAGCGATTGAGGGAGCTCGCACGCCATTGATAATTTGGCGGGGGTGGGCAAGCATTTGACTATCCCTCCTCAAATACTGCAGGGGAAAACCACCCCCGAAAACCCTGCAGCTGAGTCTCACTCTTCCAAATTTAGGCATTCAAATTTACATGTCCAATATTCATTCATATCATAGTATTGACACTTCAGCATTACAAATTTGACACTTTTAACAAAGTTGCCATAGTCAGATATTTCTTTCAGTACATTAGGTAGTTTATTATATACTCTGGCAATCATTATCTCCGGACTCTCATTTACGCAATTTAGTGAGCTTGGCCTTACAAACAAATCAGTGTCGACGTAGCTGGTAGCACGCGTAGTTCGCACTACTACACCTGGAACATCCCGATTCCGTTTAAACTTTTCAGGAAATTTACGCACAAACTTAACGCACTCCAAAATATATAATGAATAGACTGTAAGAACTCCAAATTTCACAAATAGTGGTCTACATGAGTCTAGCGCCGAGTTACTTCTCCAGTATTGAACACCAGCCATTGCTCTTATTACTCGCTTCTGCGCTAGAAAAACATCTTTCATGTGTGTAGAGCCACCCCAGATTACAATGGAGTAAAGTATTCGGCTAGCCGCGTACGCATGATAGGCTTGGACTAGAGTTGATTCCAATACTTTGTCTCGCAACATGATAAATAGATACGTAACACTGCGTAACTTGGCAACCACTTCACTGCACTGCTTGCTCCAACTCATTGTATCTGTTATCGTTACTCCAAGAAGGCGACTACTTTTCACCACAGATAATTCCTTATTGTCTATGAAGACTTCGGGCTGAACTATTTTCTTCGTTTGTGCCGTGTGCATTGTCATTACCATAGACTTGTTTGGGTTCAGTTTTAAGTAATTATCACTCGCATATTTCACCATATCAGAGTTTGCTTCTATTGTCCTTTCATTCACCTCAGAGGCAGTTTTACCTTTCACAATCATAGTTGAGTCATCAGCAAAAATTACTAATATAGCAATTATAATAATCAATGGAAGGTCAATCGAGTACGCACTATATGAAAAGGGGCCAAGTGAGGTACCTTGCGGAACGCCTCTATTGCTTTCCTGCAGCTTTGATTTAATTATCTCTTCTTCAAAATTTTCATTAAGGATTTTAAGCTTAACGAGCTGTTTTCTTTCCAGCAAAAATGACTTGATCCAGTCTAAGGCTTTGCCATTAACACCAAACATTTGTAGTTTGCTTAACAATCTCTCAGGTACTAGTGATCCAAATGCATGTACGGGGGGCATGTACATGCATGTAAGGACGATTTGGTTTAAAAAAAAAAATAGTAATTAAACCTTAGAAATATTTTATTTCTTTGAAATAAATTGTTATTGTATTTATGTGTTTTAAATTAGCCGATTAATTTCAGTGTAAATGGTAACCTATAACAACATGAATATTTTATAATTTTTAATACATTTTTTTTCTTTTGTTTCTTTTATATACATGTATTTATGTATTATTGACATAGCACACCTGCGGTGTACAATAAAAGCATTAAAAATTAATTAATTAATTAATTTTAAAATTAAATTTTTTTTTAATAAAACAGATTAACAGATTAATTAAAAGTCTAACACTAAAAAAATCAAGAGTAACGTTATCCATCGAATTTCACGAAGGCGAAACTCCCCTCAAAATCTCTCATAAAGACAAGGAAACAGGGTTTATTTTATTGCAACTGTCGTTGTGGCTGCACAAATAGTGTATGGATATTGAGGCTAACTCGTTGCGTCATGCACTGAACTTCATCCAAAGCCATCGAGAGCGCCTTCAACTCCAATTCCTGCGTCACCAACTGGCAAGTTCGCTGCAGCGCATGCAGAGACGCTTCCGACTGGAAAACGCGAAACAGTTTAATGAGAGGAATTTTACATCAAAAAGGTCGTTCACCTGCTGCCTCTGCTTTTCTAAACTTTCACAGTCCTTCTGCAGCTGCGCCAATTCTTTGTTCAGCTGTCTCTCTGCTCGATCGCTGATAAATTGAAAAAAAAATCACAATTTAAATAAATAAATATAATCTGTTTGGAGAAATTGACAGGTAAGGAGATGATCATGGAAGTGATGAACTCATGTTTTTTGCTCCTTATTGTTCCAAAACAAATGGCTCTACCAGTTACGATCACAGTCTGCGACTCTATTTCATGCGTGAGCATGTAAAATACAAAGAAATCAGCAAAATCGAAAAACAAACACTTTTTAACATAAAAATTAAAGTCTTAAATTTGTTACTCTTAAGATTTGAATTCTTGTTCAAATTTTTAGTTTTTTTTCTGGTTTTCATTCTTGCACATGAAACTGTGACGCAGACTGTGACCGAAACTGGAAGAGCCATTATTTTTTTTTTTTTGTAATGAGGAAAAGCCCGATTGTCTTTATTTCCATCAATATAATCAACAGCATTTTTTTAACTTCACAAAAATTAACCTGCACTTTTCGATTCCAGGTCGAAGGTCTCGTTCATTTAGTCTGGTGATGACCAGTTTTATGTGGTCCTGATTAATTGCCATTGGCTGCTGCAATTGAACCAACATTCTTTTCACCTCGTTTGCCTGTTGAATTGTCTAAAAATAAGATTTATTGATGAAAAATTTCCTTTCATTCTGAAATTTATATATATGAAAAAAAATACTTCTGCAAGTTCATTTTCCAATTTTTCCTTCGCCACCTTCGTTTCGGAAATTCGCTTTTCGAACGCCAGGTTGGTGCGTTCATAGACTTTGCAGATGTCCTCGCACGCCGCCCTGAGCACGATTTCGGCACTCGACCTAAGCGCCCTCGACTTCCTGATTTGTGCGTTGGCCTGCAGGACGTTGCTCCGCGTGTAATACTCCCACTGCAACTCGGTGCTGCTCCTATCGAAAGGAATAAAAAAAGTCGAATCAAATACTTGCAGCGGCTTACTTTTTGCCTGTGACGACGAGGGCCGATTGCAGGTCAGACGAGTTCACGGAGAGCTGCACGCAACGCCTGTCAATGGAAAGCGCCGCCTCTTTGCCGCTCGCGTCTTTGTTTATCATGTAAACTGCGATTCGCAACAAACGCTGCTGTTCGATCAGATCCTTTTGAAGCTTTCTCAAATTGTTCTGCGCCGTCGAAATTTTGTTTTCCTCTAATTGGAGACTGCGTCCCACTGGATCTGGTACTTTTTCTACTCCCTCTCTTCCCTCCCTTAAATTAAAAAAGATTCAGAGTAATTGTTAGTATTTTTTTTGAAAAATCCACAAAAATCATAATATTGTATGGAAGATTTTGCTACATAAATTATGCTTAAAGTTTAAATTAATAAGGAACTTATGATAATTATCTACACTGTGAATAAAACTTCTCAACCTTTTCCCATAAGATCAATGTAAATTTTTGATGTCGAATGACCTAATTATTTTATTTTTCTATCTTAATGAACGTCATTTGCTTAAACTTTTATCAATCTTTATCGGGTAAATTTTGAAATAACAATTATTTTAGAAAATTCCCATAAGAAACAATGTTAAATTTCAAAAATTCAGTTCTCCGAATAAATTCAAATTTTCTTACTGTGTCTTCTTGGAACTGACATAAAAAACCCAATCTTAATGCAGGGAAAAATTTAATATTCTTTTGCAAAAGCCTTAAATTAAAAAAAATTATTCGATTAAAAAGTGTTAAAAGACAAACCTGATTTTCATGCACTCTTTAGTAACACTGAGCGGTTCCTGGCACTTTTCCTTGGCCACCAAGACTCTTTCGACAACCTCGTCCAACGCCCTGACCTCCTCCTCCAACTTCTCCTTGCACCAGTCTAGTTCCAAGTGCTCAAACTGCACCTCCTTGACCCTTTCTTGCAGGTCGAAGCAGGTCACCCGTTCGGCCGAGACGGCGCGATCGACGCACGAGTCGCCTACGCGTTGCGCGGCGTCGACGGCCACCTCGGCGCGCCGTTGACTTGCGGTGGCCGAGTCGCAGCGCTTCTGGTTGTGGTCGCGCCATGACCGCATCGACTCGGACACTTGGGCAGGGGCCAGCATCTTTGTTTAATAAACTTATTCAACAAACCTCCACTCGCAGGACAAACGAGTTTATTTGATGTTTCTATGGTAACGAACGCCAAGGTGGAAAGATATCGTTTGCTCGTAGGTCTTTGCATTTTGAGTTGCGGTGCGCCTTCAATATATGTATATAGTGAGCTACGACGGAAATCAATACAAGCGCCGTCCTGCGTTGATTGTTTGCACACTGTTGCTTGTCTGCTACTTTCAAATCAACGAAAAGATTCAAAAAGTTTTCAAATAGTTTTTTTATTTATCATTATTTATAATTATTAAATTATTATTTTATTCTTCTCATTCAATGCGAAAATTTTAAATTGGGAATTTTAAATTGTCTGCTACCGCTGGTGCCTTTCCCAAAGAGGGATAAGCAATTAAAAAAAAAATAAATAAATAAAAAGAGAAGAAAGGGTTTACAACTAGCAGATGTCTGCTAAAACGCCCGACATCAAAAGAGACACGGCCGCCGCGGTAAACCCTTATCATCAAGGAGAATTAATATATTTAAATTTAATTATGTAAAATGTAAAAAATCTAGATAGCATAAAGAGACAGTTGAAAATCAGATTAAATTCTGGAATGTACTATCTGTTGAAAAAATATTTGAACAATAAATTTTATTGTGGCCTGAAGTCCTTTCGATGATAACCACGGAGTACCTCGAATCCATCCTTACAATACAATACAATAAGAAGTATAAGAACCAGTAATAGAGACAGTGAAATTGTGGAATCTGTTGCCACCAGTATTAAAAAAAGCAAAAAAAAAAAAAAAAAAAAAATGGAGTGAAACACTTATTGAATACATGAATCTTAAAACAAAATTAAGTATGTAAAAAATGCACTTTTAAAAGTCTAAATTTGTAAGTAGTGAGGCTGTTAAGCACCAGCTTTTATAATTTCTAAACGGAAATTGGCTGGACTTGTATGAAATAAATATCTTTCTATTCAAAATTATGAACTGTAATTAAATTTCATAATTTAATACCAAAGAAAGGGGAATTTCCCAGGTTTATTAAAAAACAAAAATAAATAAATAAATTATTCAATGTTCAACGAGGAATAGCCGTCTGACATTTACACATGCCTTCTCAATTAACATTTTGGTGACATTTTTAATTAATGAAAAGTTGTTCAGCTTCGTTCGCCAGTGACGTCATTTCGTCATTACACACCTGACGTGTCATTCAACAACATAAATTCACTTTTCTCGTCGCGAAAGCAACGAATTTTCTACCTTGCGAATCGCCTTGTGCCGTCGTCGAGCAGTCGGATTTAATTTTGGTCCTGCACTCTGGGCTTATTTGCAGGCAAGCTGCTGCAAAAACCCCTCGCGGCGCGCGCCAATATAATACGTGCGACTGTGTCAAAGAATGAAAACTTCAAAGTTGATTTCGCTCTCTCTCTCTCGCTTCTGCGATTCTAATTTCTCGCGACCCGGATCGAGCAGCTGTCAAATCGTAATTAAGCGCACTTTACTGCTGCACCGCCTCACTATTTACGACTCGCTCTCTTCATAATTCACAAGTCAAAAGTCGAGAGCCGCCTGCTGCAGCCGCTGCGTAAAATCTCCCGCTGGCCGCCGATCAATGAACGCGAATCGAAGCAAGTTTATAAAGCGGCTTTGGATGCTGCGGAGACACGAACCTAACTTCCTTTGACTCCGTGTCATATTGGAAGCGTCATAATAAAAATAGCACACGCGAACAGACACGAATAATAACTCCATTAGAAAGCTGCATTCCAACTGTCAAAATGAGAAAAAACTCCCACTGCTTTTCTAACTAATAAAATGAATCCTTTATTTGATTGGAATGTGCGCTGGATTTTCAGAGAAATATTTTATTATTGAATGATCTTCTAAAGACTTCAAGATTTCCGAATTCTTATTAATTTTTAGAACTCTTTCATTCAATAAAAAATTAATCAATTTTGTTTTTCCATTGAAAAGTAAAAAAAATGTAATAATGTAAAGAAATCCAATCCATGATTTGCGTAATAAAATTTAATTTGTTTCTGAGTTGGATTTTGAAGGCTTATTTTCATCAAAATTTTACTAAATTTCAAATTTTAAGCTTATAAAGTTTTCCTTATAGAAACATCGTGTTTTTTCTGCCCATATAACAAAATGACCTCTCATCGTGCGCTACAAATTGAATTTTAATTAATTATTATTATTATAAAATTAAAATTGTAATTTTTTTTTAATAAAGTATATTTATTTAAAAAGAAATGCAATCAATTTTATTATAAATAATATATCTAATCATAAGCGAGATTAAAACAGCCGTGAAGTCGTGAAAAATTGCAATCCTAATCAAGCGGCAGTTACGAGGAGGAAAAATGTGCGTCGCGCAAGCAATCTGGCAAGTACGTATATTTCACGAAACGGGTACGCGTTTCAGACCCTTAATTCCCAGCAGCGTTTTACGACCTGCTTTGCAGCTGCTCTTGGCCTAGTACGGATTGTTTAAGCGAATCTTGAGGGGCACACAATGAAATATGCACGCGGACACAAACAGCACCAGTCCAAGTCCGGCGGGCTTTAAGTGCGCCGTAAATTTTTCATTGGCCGCGGCGGTTTGTGAGCCCGGCCGGCGGCACACATACCAGCGGCCGTAAAAGCTCTCGTTGATTCGCCGCAAAAGTTTATCTTGGCCGGCGTGCTGATCGGTTTCAAAATCCCCGAGAATTCCACTGATGGCTATCTCTGGAGCCGTTTTGCAGATAGGTCGGCCTGATATTGCGGTTTTGCCGACGGACGAGGCACAAAAAATGAGAGCAATAAATTGCAAGGAGGCGCGCTTATCGTTCAGCGAGCTCCGCTGCACTCGCGGTGCATCCGAAGCGGGCAAAAAGCACCCCCTTCTTGCCACTCTTGTGGTCCCTCCTTTGTTGCACAAACGACGCCGCTCAAGAAGTGTGATGTGGTTATTTATCTTTAAGCACAAAGGGAGATGCAAAAACGAAGAGGTCTTTGTGAAAACAATCGAAAATTAATTTAATTTTTCAAGGATATTTTTAAGAGCCTTGAAATGAAGCATCAGGGTTGAAAAGTAAATTACTGCTTATGCTGACCTCAATATCAGGCAGAAAATTTTAATGTTAAAAAAATAAAAAGCATCAAGTTCAAAAAATTTTGTTAGCCTAAAAATTCGAGTCTGTTGAGGATTGAGTGAATTTTTTTCCTTGAAATTTATTGTGACATTTAATTTGGAGTAAATAAAAAAAGTCAATGTTTACCTGTTTATGTTATGTTATTATTATAAAATGTTTTTTATTTCAATATAATTTCATAATAATGTGTTATAAATTATCATGTTTTAATAAATATAACTTAACTTTTATTTATTTTAAAATTGTATAATAAATATTAAAAGAGTTATTAGTATAAGTTTCTTGTTCAATAAATATATATAATATGGCATAGAGAACATTTGAGCTTAAAAAATTTATTATTATAATTATATAAAATATTTTGTCAAAATCACTTGTTGTAAATTTTGAACAATGAAATGTTAAATTTGATGATTACTCATTTTTGAAGGCTGATTTTTTCAGCACAAAACTATTTTTCCTTTCATCGCATTAGCTCATCAGAATGGAAAATACCGCGCGGATGGATTGCACGACGGTTTTTGAAGAAAGTGTGTCTCTTAAGGGAGAGACTTGCTCGACAAACTTTGCTCATTTCCATCATGCAATTGCGAAACATTGTTGATTTACCCCGGGAAATATGACTCGGGCTGGCACAATTCTCGGATGATGTTTGCAGTCGCACTGCACTTAATTAAAGTCTAGACGAGCAGCTTTCATAAATTAGAGCCGAGAGTTAATTGCTGTTTGATTTGAAAGCTGCCGTGCCGTGTTTACACCAAAGTTGCAAACTGTCACGCCGAGTGTTGTTTCAGCAGCAGCCATAGTGTCACGCCTAGCAGCGAGAATCATGCTTTGTTCCCACTCGTCTAAAAGTTTACAAACTTCGGGACAAATCTTCTGTTACTTAAACTAATAAACCATTAAAAACAACTGTAAATCCATCAATCAATCATTCATCAGTATTAGAAGATTGGCAAAAAATGTAATTTTGATAATTTATTTGTTAAATTTCTTAAATCGCTTCCAAATATCTTTAAAAAAATTTTATTCACCAAATTTTTGATTAAATTTTAATTTAAACGAAAAAAACACTTTTAACAATTTGTTTATTGTTATCAGGATTCAGGATTATTTGTCCAATACTTAATGTTAAAACTATTTTACTTGGAAATTTTAGTCTAAGAGCTGCACAGAAATTTGGCCATTGTTCGAATTTTTTTGTTTCTAACGATTCGTTTTGATTCAGAGCCTTCAAATTCTTTTTCGTTTGATATTGAAGAAGATTCTAATTTTTAATTTAATCGGTTAAAAATCAACTTTGTCTGATATACTTACAATGAAGACTCATTTAAAATGGCAGACCTGAATTTTGTCATTTCTCTCAATTTAGAATTTGCGAGCTGCGTCAAATAATCTCTATTGTCTTACAAAGAGCATCGTTCTGATCCTTCAAAACCATTTGTTACAAATGTATTTTCCCACTTCGCATTTGCAAATCCGCACGCGTAATATAAGAGGCTTACCTGAAAATTTTGCAAGAAAGGTAATTTATTCGCCGCGAATTCCGGGGGCTAATAATTTGCCTTTGAGATGGAGCGCGAATTAGCGCCGGAGGTGTGCGATGACGAAACGACGGCGCCGCGAGCAGATTATTATTATTTTAAGTGCGTGTCGGTGTTCGTTCGCCTCGCTCGCGAGCAGATTTGAATTTAATCCTTTTTCGTTAAAATGGGATTGCAATTTAATCAGCTCTCGTCGCGAGAGACTTTTCACCGAGAAATGGCGCCGCGTTATTAAGGTAATTACCACGCGGATTCCTTATCTCCCGCGTCGTTTTTTGCAGCACTCGCGCGTGCGACACGGTGCATGATTGATGATCGG